TTTTATATACAACACTCAAGGGACCGTCGATTTTACGTCGCTATACCCGGAGGACGCTTTAACCAGAAAGAGTAAAAAATATTCTTTTTCATTTTTTTTACGGTTGCCATGTTCGTAATAGCTTTTACTATAAAACGATTTAAATTTTTAATCAAAACAACCATTTTTTATAAACTTATTTCAATAACATGGTTTAGAAACATTTTTGTGACGTTGGCATTGTACTTTGTCTCTCTTTTTATGCTGAAATTTGTTGTCATTATTTCGGGATTTTTTGTTATCACGTCGTAATTACCGGTAATTGACTCAAAAATATGAAAAAAAAATCGTCGGCATAAGCGGATTGTCGTTAAAAGCGGAGACGTACTAAGCGGAGGCTCTTTCATATAAGTTTGTATAGGGACCAACCAAGACGTGGAATTTTCGTCGACATATCCGGTTGGACGCTTTAAGCGGAGTCGTTATAACCGGATTCTACTGTATATATATTAGCATATTCCCATTTCCACAAATTCCTGTACGTAGGTTGTTGAGAAAATAAAATCTGTTTTGCATGAATATGTTTTAAAAAATACTTTGATTCTTTACTGCAAATGTATTATTCATTAGAGTTGAGAGACAACTAATGTCAGCCTTGCTGCCAAAAGGACAAACATAAGCTCACTGATACAACACTCGCTGACTGTGCAAGTCCAGGCGCATGCGCTGCTTTAAGGGTGCAGCTGGTGACGAATTCGTTGTAACCATTGGCAACTGTCATTTTGAATAGCTCACACGCAACACACACATACATACACACTCACACACATACCCGTGCACACACAGTTGTTCTCTCTCGCACGCTCCGCCGTGCTTCCTTTGGTTGTTTTTGTTAAGTAGAAAAGCTCTGCTTGTGAACAGAGCTCAGCGAGCTTTGCAATCAATACGAGAATTTTTTGTTCGCATTTAAATAATATGGCAAGCGCAGCTCCGTTATTAATCATTGTTAAATAATTCAATTCTTTGTCAATCCGGGCAATATTAAAAGAGTTAAGTGCCAAAAGCCCAAAGGACATTCAAGTGTTTCAATAGATTTTCAATTTTGCAACTATTAGGCCACATACATACGTATTTGAGCTTCTTTATTTGCATTACGTGTTCTGCCAGAGGATTCCAGTCATGTGGCATTTCAGTAAATAACTAAGGTAATCTTCCTTGGTCACTTCTTTTTAATTTTAATTTTAAATTAAATTTTTTCATTTGAGGTCTTCTCAGGAGAAAGATTATGCAAATGTATGTACATATACACATATATATTATATGTATATATACATACATACATATATACAAATAAAATTAAAAAGCATATATGAATATATACACTGATATATACATATGTTCCGAATTTGATGTATATAGAAAAAATATTATTTCTTCCCTATTTTTCACTCCTAACAATTAATCGTATAGCTTTGAGCTAACCCTTAACATGGATACCGTTACTGCAATTTGTGATTCTTTTATATTTTAAGAAATGACGAAAATGTCGCCGTTTCACATAGGATCCACAAAGCTCAAGCTAAAGGCATACGACTACACCAAGTCCAAGCGCATCCACAGCGATTATACATTGATAATAGTCCCAATTATATAGAACGATTGCAGCCACCGCCCCCATCGAAGCCGCCGCCTACGTTAGAGCCAGCGTTATTTTTTCAGAATCTTCGCACCGGTGGCCCTGCAGTTGCTGACTCATCGGGAGACCCAAAATTTCCGCACGCAAATGCATTGCAGCGATCTGCCACATTGCCAGCGAAACACAATCGTTTAGGTGTACGAAGTCGCGTCACCTTCAAGATACCACAGACCCCTGCAGTCCCACTTGCAACACCTCACTTGGACAGCAGCAACAACGCCGCATTGCCGAAGGAAACAAGCAAAATGACGTCTGAGGATCTTTTACAGCCAGGACATGTGGTTAAGGAGCGTTGGAAGGTACGATTGCGAGAGAGAGAGAGGGATACCGAGAGAGAAAGAGAGAACAGAGAGACAGATTTTTTCCTTAACCCTTAATGCATATTTGAAATCCTTTATAGGTTGTACGTAAAATTGGTGGCGGCGGTTTCGGTGAGATTTATGAGGGCCAAGATTTGATTACCCGTGAGCAAGTGGCGCTTAAGGTGGAGTCCGCCCGACAACCCAAACAGGTACTCAAAATGGAGGTGGCTGTGCTGAAGAAGCTGCAAGGCAAGGAACACGTCTGTCGCTTCATCGGGTGTGGACGAAATGACCGATTCAACTATGTGGTCATGCAGCTTCAGGGTAAAAACTTAGCTGAACTGAGACGAGCCCAGCCAAGGGGCGCATTTTCTCTTAGTACAACCCTCAGGCTTGGCTTGCAAATCCTCAAAGCCATTGAGTCCATACATTCGGTTGGCTTCCTACATCGCGACATCAAACCGGTAAGCTGATACTCTCCCATTCCCCACCTGTACTATACTCTGCATTCCCAACCTTCAAGTGATATTATAATGCCTTGCTGCCAAAGTCCGTGATACTTTTGTCGGTCCGTCAGTATAAAATATAATATTAACAAATGATAAGGAATGCTTTGGGAATGTGAATGGCTATAATTCGTAGGGCTAACGTAATGCTATTCGAAAATTTTTTAGAGCAACTTTTCCGTGGGACGTTTACCCTACAATTGTCGACGAGTATATATGCTCGACTTTGGTCTAGCTCGGCAATATACGACGGGCACCGGAGAAGTTCGCTGTCCCCGAGCAGCAGCTGGATTTCGAGGAACTGTGCGATATGCCTCCATAAACGCGCATCGCAACCGAGAAATGGGCCGGCATGATGATCTATGGTCATTATTCTATATGCTCGTCGAATTTGTTAATGGTCAATTGCCATGGAGGAAGATCAAAGACAAGGAACAAGTCGGATTGACCAAAGAGAAATATGACCATAGAATATTATTAAAGCATCTGCCGTCCGACCTGAAGCAATTCCTGGAGCACATACAATCCCTTACGTACGCCGATCGGCCGGACTATGCGGTAAATATTTCCAAGCACATCAATTCAATTTAATTTTTATACCCTGAACCCATCGAAAATGGGAAATCAGGGTATAATGGTTTTGTTAAAAGTATGTAACAGGCAGAAGGAGGCGTGGCAGACCCCATAAAGTATATATATTCTTGATCAGGGCGACGAGCTAAGTCGACTTGGCTCTGTCCGTCCGTCCGTCCGTATGTATGAACGCGTCGATCTCAGAAGATATAAGAGCTAGAGACTTGAAATTTGTTTCCTAGGTCCGTGTATATTAAGCGCATATCAAGCTTTTCTCTATATATCGGTAACTACTCCCGATATTTTACTATCGATCAAAAACCTTATSGAAAGCTAGTTATTTAATTATATCTCCTACACCTTTAGAGCTAGAGCTTGCAAATTTTAAATGTAGACTTATATGTATTTTATATAATTTCGATTTTTGTTGTAATTCACCCCCCACCCCTATATCCACCCCCTCACCCTCACCTTTGTAAAAGGCGTATTTCAGGTACTAGAGACTTGTGCTTTTGAATGTACATACACCATATGATTACGCCCTGAAAGTTTCATTAAGATTGTACGTCTAGAAATTAAATTATTCAACAAATAAATTCTTATAATGTTGCACACACTGCAGCTCAGCCCAAACGCAGTCGCTGCTTACTGCGCAGTTGGCAGAGAACGTTCTAATACGTGCGTGTGTATGTATGTGCGCCGAAAAGAAGTGCAGAGTGATTAGAATATCAGATTAGAGGGTTCAGGGTATCTCCTAGTCGAGCAGTCTCGACTGGAGTCTTCTTACTTGTTAACTATATATTTATTATATTTATAACTATATAAATATCTACGTCCTCTATATTTATATATTTCAACTGCCAGATGTTGATTGGTCTATTCGAGCGGTGTATGAAGCGACGTGGCGTTAAGGAAGCTGATCCGTACGACTGGGAGAAAGTGGATACAGCCGCAGTTGGTAACATAAACGCTTCGACAAATGCCACTTTGACTCCGGCTAAGAACGAGTATATGCACGGAAATGTAACACAAATGACGGTGGCTGCTTCTAATGCCAGCGGCGCAGATTATGTAAGTGCAGTCGAGAACGTCTTTGAAATACAGCTTCTAAGCTATGGGTGTGTATTGTAGGTGCGCAAGAGAAACGATATAGACACTGCGCAAATGGCCTCAACGGAGCCCCTGCATATAAAGGAAAAGGTAAAATGGAACCCAACTTGAAACAGACTTTTCTATTCCCCCTTTTCCGTCTCGCTAAATCCGTCTCAGAATCATCGAATCAAATTTTCGAAAAGTTAATATATGAAGCTTGATATCCCTATGACATAAATATAGGTATAAAGGTTTTGAAAAATCTGTATATATTTTTAGAACAGAACGAAATTTACAAATATTCCTTGATATCCTACTAAAGTTCCTGAATATTTTCCTTTAAATTGTTGCCATTCAAAAAGTCTATCTGGTAGATCATTTAGGTTCAATTCAAAGGTATTTCGAAGATAACAGAACTAAAAACTTTTAGAAATCGACTTCTAGACTCCATATGGAATGCAAAAAAAAATTATTATTTGGGCGCATTGGGAGCTTCTCTTACATAGTCAAATATACATGGCACGCACTTTCAGGTTGACAAGAATTGCAATGCCACAATGACACCTCAAGCCTCGGCGGATTGCGTTGTGCAAAACGTTAATTTAGGAAATCCAAACACACTACTAAAGCATCCTCAGCAGCAGCTGCAGCAACAACAGCAGCAGCAACAACAACAGCAGCAACAGCAACAACAACTTGTGCTGGTGTCGAACACATCGATAGCTCCACCTAATCTTCCTAGTGCACTGATCAAATCCTCTACTGTGAGTATTGTGAATAATGAGGTGCAGTTGAAGTCTTCGCACGGGAAACGTTGTCAGCCTCAGAGCGTCTCCGGTTCATATGCCACGACCAACCAAAACAATTCTGCACCAGTTTATGTAAGTGCTAAAAACCAGATTATAGAAAGATATGGGTATATGTATTTTGCCTATTTGAACAGTATCCGGAGAGTAAAACTATGGCAGCTCAAGCGCTGTCGAATATTGTGAAAACAATTGACGGCAAAGTTAACATGGATGCCGCTGATAAAAGTAGCCGTTTCATCAGTGCGGAGGGCGGCAATTGCAGATCTCTAGGGGGAGAGCATAACCAGCAGCCGCAGCAGCAGCCGAAGCAATCGAGCAAGATCACAAAAGTGGAAAGTCTTGAAAGTTCGAGTAACAATCAACTAGCAGCTGACAAGAGCTGCGAGAGTAAACGGTGCTGGCACTCGAACAGCGCTAATGTAGTCGAACAGAAATCAACTTACGGTCGCCTTCGGGTGCTGGCTGCTCCGACGGCAGCGCTGAATGATCAGGAGAACCTGAATCAGAATCAAGAATCGAATGCCAGTTTAAATCATAACAAGAGTCTCATATGCCAGCGCGAGCAAATCTTTGGCATATCGCCGACAAACCGTCGCTCGGCCACCTCGACCAATCTACGTCTATCATCGTCTATAGGTTTGCCCTCGTCCAACCAGCGTGCAGCGGCCATTGGCATTATCTCAGCGAAAAGTAATGCATTAGCAGCGGCAATAGGATCGGGAACGGGAATAGGAACTGGAACAACAACAGCGGCTGGCGATCATTCGGTAACACAATTTGCTTTAATCGACGATGAGAATGTCTCGGCACTACAACAGGTAACCAAAGGTGGCGGAGCTCTAACTCTTGCCTCCCAATGGAAGAGCCAATTCGACGACTCAGAAGATACAACCGACAACGAATGGAAACAGGAGCCGCCGGTAACTATATAATCAATAATGCAATATTCATATGCTTCAAAGGCTCCCGCATGTCATATTGTGTGTATCTATACATACAGTTTCGCCGAGGCACTATCAATTCATATAATTAATCTTAAATGCTTCGAATTTCCACTCAATAGCCAATTCATATACTTCGAACCTGTTGAACATACGAGCTCAGGATAATTTTATAAAGCAAAAAATCACTTTCTTGTGCTTGGCGCATCTCCTATTAGGGCTCCCTGATTATAATATGTTCAATACGGGTTCACACTCACATTTATCCGCCTCATTCTTAGATATACCCATATTATAATTACAATTTACTGTATATGTATATGCGAACTGTGTTCCAAGAAAATGCTCTAAGGATTTTTAGTGCCTCCTATGAGATCAATAACGAGACAGATATTTCGATTACACCTCGATGCCTAACCGGTGTATGCGTATGAAGTGCGTCTTCAGCAGCAGCTCTCGGCAGGCAGCCCGATAGTCAGTTTCTTCCGACAGGAGCACTTTTACTTTTTTAGCTCCTTTCAAGTCCGCCAGTTCTGTAAGTCAATTCTGAACACAATCCGTTCATATGTTATGAGCAATATTATATATGTATTTACGCTCGAGCTACACAAAGTTTCTGTTGTATCTACCACATGTAAAGTATCCCAAAACCTCTTGCCTCGCAGTCACAACCAAATTTGGATCAATTTGCTAAAGCGGACGTATCTTTGCCGTTAATACGCAGAAACACGAACTTAGTCGTAACCTGTAACGGCGATCCAAAAGCAAACCCATCTGACAATGAAAACGTTAAGAGGTAAGTGCAAAATCAACTCTATTTCAAAATCTGTTATCGATAGAGCATGGGCAAAGGAATCAGACTCCTGTCCACAGTCTAAATTAAATTCTTCAACCTTAGATTGATCTTCCAAAGAAACAGGTAAGAATGTTGCAGTGTCATGTGTCAGTATTAGCTGATTGGCCATGCCCAAATGAGCAAGTTGACACGGTTGAGCGGACGACCGTCCATTAATATTGAACGATTCCTTTCTTTAGTCAGGCTACCTTTTTATACCCTGGACCCATTGAAAATGGAAAATCAGGGTATAATGGTTTTGTGAAAAGTATGTAACAGGCAGAAGGAATCATCGCAAATCCCATTAAGTATACTCTAGATCAGGGCGATGAGCTGAGTCGATATAGCCCTGCCCGTCTGTCCCTCCGTTCGTCCGTATGAACGCATAGATCTCAGAAGTTATAACACCTAGAGAGCTGAAATTTAGCATGTTGACTCGTGTATACCAAACGCAGTACAAGTTTTGCTTATTTTTTCGATAACTCATCCGATAACTTGATAACTTTTTATCGAGAATAATCGGAAAATTGATTTATTTATTTCAGCATAATTTGAGCACATTTAGACCTAGAAATTTACTGTGTATATACAGTTGATAGATACGAAGATTTTGTAATTTACAGACTTTAGATACCACGCCCTCTTCGCCCCCAATTTGTAAAAAAACGTATTTCAAGTACTAGAGACTTGTGCCTTGGAATGTACACACGTTCTAACGATATGATCACGCTTTAATAAAGATAGTCCTACTACAAGAGAATTTATTCAACAAATAAATTCTCATAATATTCCCTCACTGCAGCGCCGTCCACGCGCAGTCGCTGCAATATTCCTCACTTCATATTTAGATCCCTCCTACTATTATGATAAGGGAGTACTGGTCCGCTTAAAGTACGTCCTCATATTTCATGTTTCGCAACAAATATATAACCATTAGTTTGAGAGTTAGCTTGCAGTTAGATCATTGTTCTTCGTGAAGCCTACGGAGGCTCTTAACGCAACCACACACACACAACCTGCATACATTTTTGGTATGTTGACATGACTTTATGAGGAAATCATAAGAAAGTGAACAGAAAACAAACTTTTTGGATAGAAAGAATGTCTAGGTAGATCCAATTTTGAACTATGAATGTGGTGAATGATTCAGCTCAAATATCTAGCTCTTATGCTCAAAACATAATCCGATAGCTGCAACTTTCTTCACCTGTTAAATACATTGCCAAGCCTCTATATGCAAATGTAATTCTATTAGTTGTATAATAATCTCCCCAAAATGCCAATATGTATATATAGATACACACTTAACATAGCTGGAATTGAGAACTATGAGACTTTGCAAATGTCGATACCGCACTGCTGGTCAGAGCCTGCAATGGGTAATGTATTACGAAAAGATCTAGAGCCACCTGCTGTGCAACAAGCGGCCTTCGATGACACTGTAAGCTTAACCCCAACTTATTCATACTATATGTTAAATATATTTATGTGTAGATATAGTAGTATGTTAGCTATATGTGTGCATGTTTCATATTGAGCGTTATGTCTATGCCACACTTGAAGCATTTGGGTCAAGTGTTGAATACTTGAATAGTGAAGTGACCTCTTTATATAGAACATACTAGATGACTCTGTATATATACACGTTTATCTACTGAAAACAATAAAAAACTCTCAAACGTTTTTTTTTTTTTTTTAATATGATTATCCTGAACCCATTGAAAATGAGAAAACAGGGTATAATGGTTTTTTTGAAAAAGTATGTATAGTATGTATGTATAGGCAGAAGGAATTATCGCAGTCCTCATAAAGTATATATATTCTTCATCAGGATGGCGAGCTGAATCGATATAGCCCTGTCCGTCTGTTTGTCCGTCCGTATGAGTGCATGGATCTCAGAAGATATAAAGCTAAAGTTATAAAATGTTGCATGCATACTCGTGTATACCATACCCAGTACAAATTTATCATATTTTTTCGATAGCTCATCCGATATCTTTTTATCGAGAATAATCGATAAATTGTTTTTGTTTTTTTTTTCAGCCTAATTTTAACACTTTTAAACTTGGAGACCTAAGATTTACTCTGTATATACATTTGATGAATACAAAGATTTTGTCGCGTACAGATTTTGTATACCACGCCCTCTTCGCCCCCAATTTGTAAAAAACGTATTTCAAGTACTAGAGATTCGTGCTTTGGAATGTACACACACTAGTCATATGATCATGCTCTGAAAGTTTCATTAAGATTGTCCGTTTACGAAAAAAATTATTCAACAATTAAATTCTCATAATATTGCCCCCACTGCAGCGAAGCCCAAGCGCTGTCGCTGCTTACTGATGCATGTGTATGTATGTCTTCATAAAAAAAGTACAGAATGATTAGAATATCAGCTTGGAGGGTTCAGGGTATCTGCTAGTCGACCAGTCTCGACTGGAGCCTTCTTACATGTTTTTTTTTTTTTTTTTTATTCATAAGTTTTGTACAGCAAAATAGGCGTAAGCCGTAAAATATATCTTGGGTATATGTCGATGTCGGAAGTTCCGACTCGAAAATTTCGAGCCGAAATCTATAAAAGCTAGAGACTTAAATTGTAAGAATAAGTCGGGACGGTCACACTAGTAGGTAGCCTATACTATACTATACGCCAGATGAAACTCCGTTCGACGCCCAGATCCAAATTTATACATACAGTGGAATCCGGTTATAACAACTTCTATTAAGGCGTTCAACCGGTCGACGCAAATTCTTGGTTGGTCCCCATACAAACTTATATGAAGGAGCCTCCGCTTAGTACGTTTCCGCTTTTAACAACAATCCGGTTATCACGACGATTTTTTTTCATATTTTGCAGCCATTTACCGGCTATTACGACGTGCCCTTGCAACGACACAAATGCTGCTAGGACAGAGAGTCAGAAAGAATGACAAACTTCAATGCCTAAGTCTCACAAATATTTAAACAAATTTTTATAATATTGAAAGAAATTTATAAAGATTTTTGTTTAGATTAAAAAATTAAATTGTTTTATGTTAAGCCACTAAGCAGACATGGTTAACATGGCAACTGTAAAACATGGCAACATGGCAACTGTAAAAAAGAAGAACGAAATATTTTTTTTCTGGTTTAAGCGTCCTCCGGATATAGCGACGTAAAATCGTCGGTCCCTTAAGCGTCGGCTTAACCGGATTCCACTGTGCTTTAATTAAGTTTTCTGGATCTTTTAACTTTTTCTTAATTATTCACATGTATGACTTTTGAGAGCACTAAAATTTAAGCTTTAGAAAACTAAGACTATAAATTGAAATTTTAATCATGTTCTATGAAATCAGTAAATATTTATATAATAGCTTTCTATATATGATACCCATGGACAAACTACTCGTAGAATCATAAAATATCACTCCACTGACAATAAATCATATTATATCACAAAATTAAAGATTTTTCCTAATTTTTGATTGATTATTCCATAGGTTTATCGCATGGATATAACTAGAAATGTTTGCGTACGTGAATCTCAATCGGAAATTGCACCGAAGGCAAACAACTTTCCTACGATTATTGCAACGTACAAGGAGGCTGCCAATTTGATTGATATGCAATCAAGAAACTCGAACGAGAGTCAATCACTGTGCAAGCACCGCAATAGCCTGCCCAATGTATGCCTCATAGACATGTTTGATGAGAAACCGAACTCGAATATAAATGCGCCTGTTGAGCTACAGGAATCCGCAGTCGCACCTGTCGCTGCAGTGCCTTGGTGTGTCAAGACAACGTTTTGCCAGAGAAGCAACCTGGCTTCAGACCCAATATCATCCGACATGCACGGCTATCAGCATGAAAATCGAGCTGCAAACTTCGTGGGTGCTACGACCCACAGCAACGGAGGCTGTGTTAGTGGGCGTCTTGAAATTCGCGTCATTCCAAAAGATATGAATGAAACAAGTAAGAAAGCTCTAGTCGAGACTGCTCGACTACGAGATCCCCTGGACCCTTCGAGCAATAGCTATTTCAATCATTTTTCGCGTCTTTCTGCTTACACAAGATATGCGCACACACACAAAAACACACACGCACACACACACGCATACACACACGTATACACTCACACTCACACACATACACACATACACATGCACACACACACACATACCTGTACACAAGCACCCACGCATGGGCTGCAGTGTGCGCTTACTATGAGAACTTAATTGCTTAATAACTTTTCTCGTGGATGTACTACTTTCTTCATGAAGATTGCAATTCAGATTATGATTATAATATGGATATGCATGGATTTGCAAAGCACAAGTCTCTAGTATTTGAAATAAGCCTTTTACAAATATGTAGGAGAGAGGGTAAATATAGAGATGGGGGTAAATTTTAACAAAAATCGAAATTCTAAAAAGTACATATGAATCTACATTAGAAATTTGGCGACTCTAGCCTTAAAAAGTAGCCGATATAAATTTATTACTGGTTTTCGATAATGTCTTTAATCGCTAACAAAATAACGGGGCATGTTATAGATTTTTAAAGCAAAACTCGATATCCCCGTTGTATGCACGGACATTTTACAAAAAAAAATTAGATCTCTTGCTCTTATATCTTCTGAAATAGGTCTGTAGCTCTTATATCTTCTGAAATCGACGCGTTCAAACATACTGACAGACGGTTGGACGGACAGACAGACAGACGGACAGGTCTAAATCAACTCAGCTCGTCGTCCTGATCAAGAATATATATATTTTGTGGGGTATACCACGCCTCCTTCTGCCTGTTACATACATTTCAACAAAACTATTATACCCTGATTTCCCATTGAAAATGGGAGGGTATAAAACCGAATAGAAGAATCCAACTAATTTATTTGTTGTGTACATTATATTTTGTAGGCTGTTATTACATAAATTATTTTGTATTTCATACAGAAAACTCGCACTTGGAGGAGTCTGTCTACTACGATGCCTTAGCTAGCACTATGAAAAATTTCAAATCTTTGAAGCAGGAGGCATCTGGTGATCTGCGCGATAAGCTTTTGGATGATAAGATTTCAGTTAACTGTGATCGAATCGAAGTTGCTCAGGAGTCGAATGCTGATAGCAACAAAGTCAAATTGAATGGCAATGGGTCACCAACGGAGAGCGTGATGGGTCCATCGACAGCTACAGCTTATCAGATTCAAACGGATCCACAATCCAAATCACAAATTGAAAATCCTAGCTCACACATGGCTGATGATGAGTGTGATGGTTGTGAATTGGCTTTGTCGAGTACGCCCAGCAAGATTCCTGTGCTCACTTCCAATTTGCGACAAGCGAAGTGTGCCTCTTGGGCTGGTGTTGCAACAACAACAGGAACAACAACAACGACAGCAACAGCAGCAGCAGCATCCCAGACTCACACACAACATGATTATTCAGAAAAATCCAATACTGTAGATCTTGTTAATAGCCCCACCCGAATTCAACTTTATTCGAGTGTTTTACAGAACTCTCCAAATATTATGGACTTGACACCAGGTTAGTTAATGTCTTAAATGCTAAGAGAGAAGGCATCCCTTACACGGGTGACTGTAGATACATATAGTTCATTAATATAGCGGTATATACACAACAATGATAAATTGCACTCATTCATTAAGGTTTGCGTCGCCGTCGTGAGTCAACTGAGGGAAAGTACGTGACTGATCCCACGCAATTGAATTTAAGATTTCAGCGCCCACAAGCTCGCATCTCTAACAGGTAAGACTAAGCCTGGACATAAATTATCGGAGTACCCAAAAACATAGTTAACCACTTCTTCAATTGCAGGTTGCGTGAGGTTTCCGCAACAGCAACAACAATATTGACGACTTTCGATGATCAGTCGCCGGCAGTGGATACGATTAGTATCGATGATGGTGTTAGGGAGTTTTGCAAAGATAATGCAACGTATAAGAAGACGGCCACATCACTAATCGATGACACTAATAAGGCGGCAAGAAATCAAAATATTGTTGGATCGACACCGTCATCCCCCCCGACAACACCAAGGAATGATATTTCGCCCCCACCTGGCGATCCAAAAATAGAAAATAGTGCACGCCTTCGTCGCTATCGGCATAATATAGAATAATTCAAAAAGCTTCTTCAGTAATGAAAGCAATAATAGAATCCGATGCATGGTAATCGCCCGAAATATACGTACACCTATATATATTATAAACATACAAAAAAAATATATATATGTATATA